AGCGTACGCATGGGTCAAAGCTGGCGTGAGGCACCGCACATTTTCACGTCAAGTTTGGATTTTATAAATCACAACCTTGGCGCAAAAAGTGGCGTACACAAGTTGCTGGGCTCAAATTGTGCGTACGCCAGTTTTATAAATCTGACCCCTGGACTTGAGCCATTCTGTTGTAGATCAGCTGCTGTGTTTGTGATCATTTTTCTGTAGCATCATGACCCAGTTTGGTCCAGTCTTCAGCTGTCAGACAGATGGACACTAATTTGACTCTAGAATCCTTTGGTCTACAGAGGAGTTCAGGGTTGACTCATTGACTGCATAGAACCTAAAACATTAACCCTCCACCACCGTGCTGACAGCTGGTGTTAGTTGTGTGTTTGGTTTTCACCAGATATTCTGCTGTGCATTATGGGTAAACATTTGGACAGAGGACAGCGTTCCAGAACCTAACTCCTGCCGCCATGTTGGTTTTAGAGCGAAGAGTTTTTCCTCCTGCAGCCATTTAAAACAAGTCATATTTGTTTAGTCTTTTTTCTAATTGTCTCGTCATGAACTTTCACCTTTAACTGACTGAGACCTGCAGAGTCTGACATGGAACTATTAGATGGCTTGTGATTTCTCTGAGCATTGCACGGTCTGACCTCGGGGTGAACTCACTGGGAAATCCACAATGTTTTCCTCTGCTCTGTAACCTTTCTTGCTTTAGAATGAAGTACAGTATTTTAAATGACCTTGGACCAGACTTTTAGAAAGAGGGGGTTCAGGGAAGAAGTGTAGATGCCTTCCCTAAAAACCTGCCTTTGACCCTTCCCAGGTTGAGCAGCAACAGTTGATTCTCTTAGGTCAGGGGTGTCAAACTCATTTTCACTGAGGGCCACATGAGCGTTATGGTGGCCCTCGAAGGGCCACTTGTAATGAATTTTGATGTTTCATGTTTAACTTTGACTAAACAATGTTTTAACACGTCCTCTTTTAAACACTGATAAGAACTAAGTGTATGACTGACTAAATCTGTAATAAATACAGAAATATTATTAAAAGTAAAACAAAAAATGTTTTACTCACTGATGAGTTTCTAAAGAGTAGCTGCATTATGGCAAATTTAGTTTATGTTTGATGGTGACTTTAAAGCAGCTTATTTTCAGACAGTACTGTGCTGTACAACTAAACTGCTCAGTTACTTCAAGCCAACAGCTCAGGGACAGGAATTCATTTATTTATTTTTATTTCATTTATTTTTATGAAATTAATTTTGTTGCATTTAACCATAAAGTTAAAGTTTACCATTGATATAAGAAACAAATTTCATGTTAAGTAAAAGAAAAAAAATTTTTTTCTTTTTTGTTTGGGAGGGGACCCCCCCCCACCTGGCGGGCCACACGGGAGTCACCCCGCGGGCCTTGTGTTTGACACGTGTCTTAGGTCATTGCTGATGTCTTTCCACCTTGGCGTTTTATTTTTTTTACTGGTTCAACATCAAATTAATTCAGCAAAGAAAAATACTTTTCAATTTTTTAGTTTCTTTAGTTTAAAGTTAACCAATTGAAGATCTACTTTCAGAGATTACTTTCTGTTACTGATTCATGTGACTTTTTTTGTACTAAACACAAAACAAGCCATAACTGGGTTATATTATTATTAATAATAAATATTAAGCTAAAACTTGTTGCATTAGTAGCTGAGAGTCACAGCTAACACACACTCTACATGCTAGCAGTTCACACAGTCCTTGTTAGAATCTTTGTCCAGAAGCCAACCTTTCTTAACAAGATGCTATTTTTATTTTAAAAAAGCCTTGGCGTTGTGTTAACACATTCCTGATAAAACACCTGGTTTTAGATAGGGCTGAGTATTGGCAAGAATTTGGCGATACGATACATATCATGACAGAGGGTTCACGATACGATAAATCCCGATATATTGCGATACTATAAGCAAGGTGATATATTGCGATTTTTTTGTCCAAAAATTCTATTAAATAAAAACCTCTTCCTGGGAAAAAAATGAAAAACCAAAATTTATTGTCTCAGAAAATTCTAATATTCCAGAGACATGCTCTTGATACATTTAGCTGTGTTCTGCTTTGTGTGTATTTTATTTTATTTGTTTCATATTTCTTATTTCATCCATGTTTTCAATTATAAGACTAAATTTGACAAATAGTTTGAAAATATATTTTTTGCAGCTTTTAGTTTTTAATATTAATTTACAATAAGGTCACCCAACACTTAACAATAGCCTCTACCTCAAGAGTAGAGGAGCCAAATGGCTGGCTCACTGCTGCCAACTAGTGGTCAGAGGCTGAACTACAACATAAAAATGAACGGCTGGCAGGAAAGTTGACATTTTAAACCTTAATAAAAAAATCGGTACAGGACTTTAGAATATTGATACAGTATCAGGAAATGAAATATCGTGATATTTCAGTGTATCGATATTTTCTTACACCCCTGGTTTTAGATCACACTGGTAACGATCATCAATACGTTTGATCAGCAGCTCCTGGCTGAGACTCCTTAAATCCTGCAGATTTTCCATTTTGGCTTCATTTTTTAAATAAATAATGAATGTTTTGGAGTCTGTTGTGTTTTTTGGACAGGTGAGGTTAGATTGAAATAACACAGTGTGATTTCTTGTGTGTTTGAACTTGCAGGAGGAACCCCCCAACAAGAAAAAACGTGTTGAATCTTCCACCAACTGGACCGGTACTGTCAGCTCGTCTGGTGCCACTGTGTTGTGTTTTACAAGCTGCTCTGTTTTACGCAGTGTTTTTTTTTTTCTTTCTCAGATGAGGTGGATGAGATCGAGGTGTATGGTAGCGAGGCCCAGTCGGGCACTCAGTTGGCCACCTACTCATTTGAGGTGAAAAAAACTTTTGGTTCTTTGCATTTCTTCTGTAGCTACACATTTAAGAAGCAAATGATGGCAAAGTTTGACTGTTTTGCTTTGTTTTGGCAGGTGTGTGACAGCATCCTCAACATTGGACCGTGTTCAAACGCCTCCATGGGTGAGCCTGCTTTCCTGTCCGAAGAGGTACTCACACATTTGAGTCACACTTCACCGCAGGACGTCATGAATTTCAATCATTTGAAATTTTATGTTTTTTTTCCTCCACGCAGTTTCAGAACAACCCCGAACCTGACCTGGAGGTTGTGGTGTGCTCTGGTTACGGCAAAAACGGCGCACTGGCCGTCCTCCAGGTAAGTAAATCCTTCTTTTCAACTTGATATTTCCGCCGCACCATCCGAAAACGTGTGGTGGCGAGGGCCGTCTGCCACAGCGCCCGTGATGGTGCTAAAGTAGGTTCTGGGCTTACCAGGGCTGCCTCAGAGATCCACGGCGCAGCCTGTAAACACCTCAGACACAGCCTTACGGCGGCGTGAGTCCCAAAGCTTGAGTTCTCTGTTTTCATCCTTTTGTCTTAGTTTTTCCCCTCTTTTCTTACCCCAGAGAAGCATTCGGCCTCAAGTAGTGACTACATTTGAGCTGCCAGGTTGCCACGACATGTGGACTGTCGTCTCCAGGGAGGTCAAGAAAGATAAAAAGGTACGATTTCTGCTTCATGAATTCAAGTTTGTAGTTTTTCTTATTATTTTTCTGTCACATTTTATGGTATTACTTAATTTTTTTTCTTTTCTGCTCCTTCAGCAAACTTCAAAAAGCGATGAGTCAGAGGACGGAGCAAAGAATGAGACCGAGGATGAGGAGGCGGGGGAGGAGGGAGAGAAGGAGAAGGAGAAGGAGAAGGAGGGAGCAGAGAAAGAAGAGGAGAAGACAGAATCTCCCCTGGAAGATGACGCAAAGAAGCACGGCTTTCTCATCCTGAGCAGAGAAGATTCAACCATGGTACCAGCACAGATCAGTCCTCAGCATCATGTCTTTCCTTTCTTTAAACACTCTCTGTTAGACACTCACAAGCTTTTCTGTTACAGATTAAAGTACCTGTGACATGCTTATCCTTTAAATACAAAAAGTCAAAGAAAACATCTTTATACTTAAGAAAATTGGCACAATACATATGATTTTACCCATTTTGTCACATAACTGGCCTATTTTCTTTTGAATTTGGCTCAGCCAAAGTGAAAAAGGAAGTGACATCAAAGAGGAACTCATTAATAAACTCGCTGGTCTCTGTTTATTAAAACTTTAACTTTCCTTCGTCTCGCTTTGATAGCGACTAAAAATAATCTAAAGAAACATCAGATTATTCTCTACAGTCTGTGTTGTTAGCTTTTGTAACGACGCTCTGTTTACATGCTGACATTCCTCTTTGACATCACTTCCTGTTTCTTCACAGGCCAATATCTCAACAACGAATCATTTCAGCAACGTGAAATTTCTTTTGCAATGTTATCAATGTTGTCTTTCTAAAAATGCATTCATGTTTATTATAAAAAATTGATGTCACATGCACTTTAAATATAAGTGATAGTTCTGCCTTTTTGAAGTGGGTTTGTGTGAAAATTATAACCAGCTAACATCTTACCTGTCATAGATGGCTTTTTAAGCAGCCTTGGTTTGGAGAAATAGTGAAAGTCTGGCAGAACTGATGAGCTAATGCTAATCTAACTCAGATCAAAGTGAATTATTTCCATCTTAAAACAGGGTTCCCGCGGATCCTTAAAAAGTCTTAAAAGGCCTTGAATTTATCAATCCAAAAATAAGGCCTTAATTAGTCTTAAAACATCTTAAATCAGTCTTCAGAATTCGTCTCAAATATTAAAATAATTGGTAACATTTACTTATTTTTGAAATATTCACATTCAGACATCACTTCCTGTTACTTCAAATGCAAATATCTCAACAACTGTTCATCTGAGCAATGTAACATTCGCTTTGTAGTATGTTAATAATGTTGTCTTTTCCAAAATGCTTTCATATTTCTTACAAAGATTTGATGTCACAGACACTTTAAGGTTTCATCTACAGCAAGCTGAGGTTGAGAACCCACTGTGGGTTCTAAAACAACAAATTTTGGGTCATTAGAGGATTTCCAGGAATTAAATTAACTTTAAAACTGATTGTTTTTTTTTGTCAAATATAGCAAAACATCCTTTTACTTCGATATGGATAAATCAGGATTTGTGTAGGGTCTTAAAAAGTCTAAAATTTGAAAATCAAAATTTTAGGCATAAAAAAGTCTTAAAAACACCCAGATTTTCATCCAAAGTCTTAAATTTTATTTTGTCAAGTCTTATTTTTTTTACTTTCATTCGTTCCTGAGAAGCGTTGGCTGCAAAGAGTAAAGCAAAGCAATCAGAAGTTGATGCGATCTGTCTTTGTGAAGTTCTTAGTTTGCTACCAGTCTTTGTACGTGTTAAATTACAAATCCTGTGATGACTCAGAAGCGGTCCACAGCAGTTGATATGAAGGACTCATAGATATGACCATTTCATTAAAATAATTTAGTGTTCTTGTATTAAAATTAAATAATATTTCATACCTAAATTAATAGCAACAAAAGTTTTGAATACAGTATTAAAATTTTTGGGATCCTTTAAATGTTTCTGTTAATGCGTCGTTTGGTCTTAAATATCATTCCTAATGGTCTTAAATCTTAAATTTAACTTACAGAAACCTACATGAACCCTGATAAAAACAATTGGTCTATTAGCAATATTTGAATAATTCAACCGAAAATACTTTGATTCATGAGTTTCTGCCACATTTTTTTTTATTTTTGTTGTCATTTGTGTTTGTGAAATTGGTCTTGAATTTAATTTCACTTAGCATTAAAAAGTCTTAAAACTTCTTAAATTTAACTTGCCTTAAACTGTAGGAACCCTGCAAAAGAAATTCATAGCAGGTAATGTAAATACTACTTTAAAAACTTATAAATATAAATTACAGATATTTGTTACTTTTAGTCTTGTAAAGGAAACGCTGTTCAACAACAACAAATCTTTTTGGGTCCACGTTGTGTTTAGATGTAACCGTTTGCTCATCAGTCCTGTCGGACCTAAACTCTGTAGCTAAAATATGAAATATTTAACGTTTTACAACAACCCCGTTTCAAACTGGCCAAACGATTTCTTTAAATAAATGGTGGAGCAGCACTCATCGATGCCCTGTTTGGCTGTAGATCCTTCAGACGGGTCAGGAGATCATGGAGCTGGACACCAGTGGGTTCGCCACTCAGGGGCCCACTGTGTTTGCCGGAAACATTGGCGACAACCAGTACATCATCCAGGTCTCACCCATGGGACTCCGGCTTTTAGAAGGAGGTAAAATAAGATGATTATTTTCATTAACATTTAATCGCTGCAAAAAACGAGAAAATTAACAAAAAGAGAACTCAAATTATAGACGTCAGAATAAACTCAGATAATGATTCCAGATGCAACTTTTTCATTTTGTTTTTGTGTTCTTCCAGTGAAACAGCTTCACTTCATCCCCATGGATCTGGGCTCTCCCATAGTGCATTGCTCCGTGGCAGACCCTTACGTGATTATCATGACTGCTGAAGGAGTGGTCACGATGTTCGTGCTGAAGAGCGACTCGTACATGGGGAAAACACACCGACTGTCTCTGCAAAAACCCCAGATTTCCACAGTGAGTGAAACACACCCTCAAGTCTCTCTCATAAGGTTTCCACTCATAGACCTGAATAAGAACACTAGACTGAGCCCCGCCCATCCCGTCCACTGGTAGTGTCTGTGACAGACTGGAGGAGCAGAAACAGACCAAACAGGACAACAGCTCACAGCAAACATAGAAACTAATGAACAGCAGCTGAACTGGATCTGTTTCACAGATTATCTGTAATATTTTTACAATAAATTAATAAT